GCATTTCCGTTCTGCTCTTTTTCGGGAATAGGATCAGCTTAAAGAAACAGTTTTCGGTGTAGAACGTTCCAGACGAACCAGACATTGAGCCAGGGACCAGAATCGTTGAGGTGTTTGAGTGTACTTGGTCGATTCAATGATTTCAGTTGGCCAACTAAGTAAGTCGTCAGTGCTCCTATCCTCCCAGACGAGTCTCGCTACGGCGTCGGAGGGATGGAAAGCTTGGTTGGTATAGGATCATTTGCATTTATTACAAAAAATTTTGATACGGAATATAAAATACGATAGAAGTACGATAGAAAATGTCTTCTTAGGGTCTAAGCAAAATTATTGGTAAAGTGAGGGATTCATTCTGATTTGATTAAGGCCAAAATTTGTTGTGAGTTCTAGTCAAGCTTGATATGAAAGGGCCTAGACCATAGATTTTCATTGGAATGTGATGATGATGATGTAGGCTATAAACGATGCCTTTAAATTGTTTGACCTTATTCACGTTTAACACCAATCAACTCTGGATTACTGCCTCTGATCCAGTTCTGCTCCTATTTTTTGCTGGTCTTGTTTATGCTCCGTCCCTTTATGATCCTGCAGCCTGCAAGTGATGTCAATCAAATTCCAGCAATGCCTGTCTGCACGTTGGAGGAGCTATTTTGTAATCATTGTATGATGGGCATTTCTCGATAACGTTGACTTTAGTTGCCTCGTTAACGTTGTAATGGCCACTTTTTGAAAAAAAAATTATATCTAATAAGATGATTTCCACGAAATCATGCAGCATAACAAGTGGAAGATAGAGGTTGCTCTGAGAATGTTTGGAATTTGTCGGAGAGCGGATGTTTTCGAGTTTAGATTTCGTATGAATATGTATCACACAACAAACTAGGAGAATTGAACATTATTATCATGTTGTATATAAGGCAGAGGTGGTTTAGTGGCAAGTGGCGCACCTCCGCCCAGGCATGGTCCACGGTTCGAATCTTGGGTCTAGGCCAACCAATCCCACCATTCCTCCGCGGTCTGTTTATTGGTGCCGAACTTGCTTGGAGCATAGAAGCACCGGCTTGTCACTACATCGGCTAGTCACTGTTGGTTATTGTGTTTACTAGATATTCAGTCCATGGGTCATTACGATTCTGCCTGGATGTCGAGTGCGGGGTGCATCCCAAAACGGAATTGATTGGCCCCTAGACATTATCTCTATCTTTTCAATTTTTCACTTCCCTAAAAGGACCACAAACTGGCAGTGCTCTTTTTTTCTTTATAAAAGCCTTCGTGTACAATCAATAGGAGTAGCGATCGTAGTATAGATTGATAAGGTCGTTCGTCCAGTCCACTGCTGCTCACTGTTTGCAGAAGTAGATGCCTTTGAATAGCATCCAGCTTTGTAGCCTTAATTTCCAAAAATGAGCAAATCATTGATTACCAAAATTATTAATCATTGCTGACAAAATTATTTAGAATTACCACAAACGGACTTCTATCAGTTGCTGGATGCTCGAGAACTCTTTACTGTGTATGTAATCGAAGTATCCTTCTAGGCATTTTGATAGAAGTTGTTGCTAATTGACCGTACTGCTGAAATTATTCTGATAGAATTTCAGTTATCACATGAAGAGGTCCCGGGCTCAATCCTCGGAAGGTACGCACAGTAGCGCGCCGAATGCCCGCATGGCATTAATCCACTCATGCCCACAAGTTGCATGCTCACTTGAATTTTTCACTTACAAACGTTTTTATATCGTCTAAGTTCTTCCAGAGCATCTGTCAATGGCCTTGTAACCCTTTAACGCATGAACACTAACTCTGAAAACATCCAAGGTTTGCGCATGTTTTCTCCCACATCAATTTACCGTGACTACTGCCTCCAAGCGCTCCACAATAGCAAGATTTGTAATATTTCTTCTCATTATACTAGCAACTTGAATGGTCCCTATCAATGCTCTTCGGTTGAGTTTTTCGGTTGCTTCAGTAATTTTCCAAATAAGCCTTCTAGAAGGCGAAGGCGTGGTATGCAGTGTCAAGAGGCGCACTACCACACACGCATGGACCGGGTTTCAATCTCGGATTGATCCTCGCCCTGGCCGACGTGACCATTTATCAGTCAGTGGTCGATTAATTGGTACTAGATTTTGGGAGGACGAAAGCGCTAAGCAGTACATGGGCTGACCACCATAAGTCATTGTCCGTATCGGCCTGCATTCTACACGCCACTACGATTCTGAATGGAGGTAGGACACGAGGCGCATCCAGAAATAGAATTTTAACGCCGAAACACTTGGTCCTTTGTTTATCCCTATTGAGTCTTCTGCAGTATCTCATGATCTAATTTCTTGTTAACTTGATTTCTTCTGAAAACATTTCTTTGCCTTCTGTGCTGCTGTTGAATTATTGAACGATAGTTCTTGTTTCTTCATCCTATTCCAATTCTATTTTCTACCTATATTTACCGATTTCCTGGACTTCCAGGAGAATGCGCCTCAAACTATTGCTATCACTGTGCATACCATTAATACAATGTCAAACGCAACTATTCGACTATGGCGAAAAAGCGGGCGATCAGGTGATTTTTTTTTNTTTTTTTTTCTTCTATGGAGCTTTTCATTAATTTGACTGTTTCCTGTCAACAAGCCCTTTCTCTGTGCATGGGACCGCTTCAGATTGATTCATGTCGTTTTTTACGTTTTGGGCGAACTGTCGACGTTTTTCATGAAAGGGAAGCTAGGGAACGCCCACGCGTTCCCCGTTGTTCGGCACTATCTCTTTGTGTCGATTCTAGCGAATTCGTTAATCATTCTTCATGACAGCGATCAGTTTCGTTTGACAACTGCTCGGGAGAATCAGCTATTTGAATAGGGAAAAACGGTGTCATATGAAATGAGATGCTACAATAACTGTGCCTGACTACAAGTACATGCTTCAGCAGAGATGACGTAGGGGAGCCGTGTAGTCGTTACTGGCCACTAAGGGTACAAGTTCAATGGCCGCTAGTCGGTAGTAGGTTCAAAACGTAGTCTCCAGAGGCGTCTATTTGCTCAGTTCATGAGTCAAATACTGCTCAGAAAAAGCTCTCTCAGCTTGCACACCCATTTAGAACGCTAGTGGTAGTCCCATCTGTGAACCTGGGTGTTCTGATTTACACATCTGCCTTTTCGCTGTATCTACTGTACAGAATAAGAAATTGTTCAATTATTAGTGCCGCCTTGAGCGAATCTTGTGTACATGGCGCATACTGGGAAAGCCAAATGACTTGAGGCATCCATGGGGTTCTCGGGCTTTTCTGAAAGCCCAAAAACCAGTGCTATCTTCATTGAATAAAGACAATAATTTTGCTAGACACATTGATAATTAAGAGGTTTAATTTTCTGGTTACTAGCTAGAGCGTTGGTACGAGAATAAGTTCTCCACAAGTGCTCAGTGGTGTACCTGGAAGTGTCGGCTGTCTGAATTTTGAGACCAAAGTTTCGTTCCGAAATCTCTTTCTGCATCCAACAAACGAAGAGGCTGAAAATTTTGAGTGGAAACCATGATAGGGATCGTGTGAGTCTCATAAGGTCCCTAACTAAACCTACTTACTGTACCGATTTAAAAGGATGGGATATCAATTTCATCCCACTATAAGACATGCACTTCACTTCTATTCAAAGTCGTAGAGGCCCGTTTTCCCGATGGGAGGAAGGCAAGCCCAATGTCGGTGAGATCGGTTCTCTAGGTACATTATACAGGATACAGGTCGTTTGAGCCCCTCCTTTATCAGCTTTCTCATACTAGTTATACAGTTGATCTGGTAGATTTTGTAAGGATGTAGAGGTGAGCATAAATGGAGGTGTTTCAACGTGCCTTGTTACTTTTTTACATCAACCGTGCCGGATACGATTGTTGTGAAAATCGGTCAAGTATGAGGAAATTGATTTTGCGCATCCTCGAACCCTGTCTTCGGCAATTTTTTCTTCCAAGAAGGAATTTCGAAGGGATTTTCATAAGTTTGATTAGCAAATCGCACGGAATGGACATGCCAGGAAGGCTTATCAGTATGAAGACGTGGACAGGAGTCTTGTCCCAGCATGAGCTACAGTCTATTGAGTAAGTGGTTCTTCAGGTTTTTCAAGCCTGTGCCATCATAGATTGTTGTCCCGAGCAGACACTTTTTTGTGTCCTGTTTCCCACTTGCTTTTAGGTTGACCCATTCAAGTTCTGATTTTGTGCTCGACGGTCACAAACTCGAGCTCCTCAGCTTCGAGCTCCCCATCCCAATATAGAAATCTTTGGGAGGGTGATTAATCACGGTTGAAAGCGGCGGAAACGAAATTAATTGAGCGGTGTTGAGTGGTACAGGGATCTTCTTCCCATCAAGAAAAACCATTTGAGGGACTGTCTTGGCGGAGTGATTTTTCCTCAGTGCAGCTGTTGCCCATGTCGGAATGACCAGGAAAAACTGCGGCGCTTTCGTTAATCGGTTCTTCATAAAACTTTTTCAAACCATATGCTCTTGGGTCTGTGCGAACTGTGAAAGTGTTGATAGCTAAGAATTACCTACTGCTAGTAGACGGGTAAGGGGCCTAGGTGGTTGGACGTTTCGGTTTGATTAACTCATTTTCTGCATCCTAGACCGTAGAGATATTCATGTGGACATCTAGTCTGTTCCTTGTCGGAATCAGAGTTTTCAAAGCTTCTCCCCGACATGGGCCCTTACGATCACCAGGTTATCGAACTGGAGCAATGGAAACATCAAACTTTTTGAGATACTGCTTCATTAGTTAGTGGGGCCAATAATCTTCCCTATTCGAATACTTCCAAACCTATTACTCCTACCGTAATTTGCTGGTTTTACGGTTTGTCCATTGAGGCGTCCTATAAGTCGTTTCGTGTAAAAATCATCAGGGATATGATTGGATATTCAACGTCAAGCTGGTCTTAATCTCGAAGGAATAAATTGATGGATGCCTGATTGAGGCGACTAGGAATACGCCAAGCATTTCATTAAAACTGGTCTCGAACAATTTCTTCTGCATAGAGCGCGAGTGAACGTACTTTTGTGATTCAAATGAGCAGACACTACGAAGCTATCACCGCGCTTGCGAAACTATACTCTCGGGTATCCTTCGCTAAAGAATCGTGAAGGGAAGGTACAAGCCAGTTTTGTCGGGACCTAGTTCACAGAAAGTTTCACGGTGGCTTGTATTTACAATTAGGCGAGCCACGGTCTTCTCTGACAGTAATCTTCTCCAGAGCTCATCAGAGAGGAGAGGATAGCCAAGAACAAAAAAAAGCCAAAAATTTTTTGAAACTATGGAAAGGATGGATAAGCAATGCTGTCTCAATCTTACAAAAAGATGAAATAAACAAATAAACAAATGATTGAACAATAAATTTTCTGGATTCGAAAATGTGATCAGAGAGGTGGAGATGGAGAAGAGTTCAACCCGCAGCTTAGCCGATTAGGCAAAGCGCTAAACCGATGTTATTCGGATTTTCATTCACTCTTTAAACCTTTGGTCCTCTCGGTTTCTCTAGATTTCCGGTATTTTGCTCATATTTATTGGCTAGAGGCGGTCACTGCGTAGTTCAATGGTGATGGTGTCTGATGGTAGCTAAACAAGATTTGCCAACCTTCTTTTGGGAAAAATGAGGAGAACTTTCAAACTTTTAGAGCTCATCGTTTTCAAGAAAAGCGCCAGGAATGAAGTTCACAAGGCATTTTTAGTAGAAAATAATGAAGGAGTTATCTTCAGAGCTTGGAATTCTCAGCGGGCCAACATGCGGTGGCTATTGATGTTCCAATGGTGTACATGGAAAACTCTTACAGTGAAATCTATATAGCTCCAAATGGTATCATCGGATTTGGTGACCGGCTCCCAGGTGAGAACACCCTCTTTCATTCCCTTTTGAATCAGATTCCGTCCGCAGATTCTTGTTTGTCTTTTTCAGATGCGGTAACGCCATTGCAGAGGTTAAACCAAAGCGCCATCGCTGTTTTCTATGCTCCCGTTAGAGATGGCGACGTTTACTTCAGGTGAGGGGACTATTTTGATAGAATTTCAGTTTGGAGTTTCTTTAGTAAGGGTTTTTTTGAAGTTTTGGGCCTGAAAACTCTGAAAAGTCTGCTTTTCCGTATCAAATCTTCAGTGTCAGAACAGTACCTATCCATTTTTTAGAGCAACATCATCTGATCAACGTCTTCTTCATCGTCTGACTGAGTATATTCACAAGACGTTTGCTGATAGTAGTGATTTCACTACCCTCCAGGCAGTAATTATCACATGGGAAGGTCTACAAAATCAGGAAATGGATGGGGAAGCTACTTTTCAGGTATGAATATATCCACAGAGCGGATGCCTCTTTTTTGTTCTTCTTTCTTCTCATCTGATTCGGTCACTTTCCAGCTTGCTCTCGCTTCTGATGGCATGACATCATATGCATTGATACAGTTTCTTTCGTTACCGTGGTCTGCCTCTGGAGGACGTTATGCACAGAGTGGATTTTCCATGTCAGATGGACGACATCAGGCCAATATTAATTCCGGAACGCCGGACGTAAAGGATTTGGTTGGGTAAGTGATTCGTAGGTGGAAAGTCCGTAGACTCTAGCGTCAGTCACTTCTGGATTAGTCACAAATTCATTTACCGTCACGAATAGAAATTCATAATTGAATGAAAACTGAGCCTGTACATAATACATCCATGGGTCGGCTGATATGCTGATTGTCCCTATTTGTCGGAGACCATTTTTTGTTTCTACCCAAAAAATAGGATAAAAGAATCAGGTGGACCCTATACGCTTCTTTTTCGATGGTTCACAAGAATATGGGGAAAATTTGTATCCTCGGCCAATCTGGGCCCACTTCAATCCCACTGAAAATTTGGAGAAACTATGGGAACTTCAATATCTACCACTGCTCAACTTTGCTTTGATTTTCTATGGGAAGGAAGACATCGATAGAGTTGGGCTACTGAGAAGTAACAGCTTCACTGTCACAGAACCCCAACTGATCACGTACAAGCCAGTGAAGTTCAAAATTCTTTGAGAATCAGCTTATGGTAAGAGATTTGTATGGAAGAAGGGGGAGGGAAGGGGGTGAGTCTTGGGCCATATGCTTGGAACAACCCCAAAGTCTCCACGTGAACCCCGAAGTCATTGTAGAGGCAGAGTTCCAATTGTCACTACGATTCTGATTGGAAACCCTGCACAGACGTATCCCTAATTTGGCTCAATCAGCGCCGCATGTCCTTTCTATTTTAATCGATATGAGTAATATTTTTGTATTTTCTATTTTTTCTCTTGATATGGTCTTTTAGACTTTCGAACAATCCCGAGGGCACCTCGTTCATCTTCCGTATCTCTGGCTCTGCCATCGAGGATCCACGAGAGAATACCGATGAGTACGAATACAACAATTACGACCAGACTGACTATGACGGAGATGAAAGGAAGCCTCGTGAGTGTTGCAGCTTATTTTCTGAATTTTTAACTCTTCAAATGAATATTTCAGCTGTGGACTGTCCGGTCGATCCGTATAGTGATAGATGTCCGGAAGGGTGTAATATCCTTACGGATGAGCGGATGTGTTCTCGTTGTATATGTGCAGGTATGGGAGATTCCTTAGGTCAATCTCTGCATAATAGTAACTGCTATTATTTGCTATTTATTGTTTATTATTTATCTGACGTTTCTGTTTTGGTTTATGTAAGAAAACACCTTTGCTGAGTGTATGAAATAAAAAACCTTATCCCGAACATTCTAGAACCGCAACCCGAGGATGAAAATCAATTGCCGGAAATTCGAGAGCCGCTTCCACCTCTCCCACGTAGCTCCACATCTGATGACCAGCGATCGGATCCTCAACGTTCAGAATCTGCTCGAGCTGATGACCGACAGAGTTCTCCACTCGAACAGGAACGGGAAAGGGAGCCAGAAAGAGAGCCGGAACGGGAAGTAGAGCGGGAACTGGAAAGGGAATCAGAGCCGCGAACTGATCAGGAAACTCCCAGGGAACCGGAGAGGGAGCATCATCATCCCCATCATCATCACGCTGGCCATTCTGAGCAAGGTAAGTGTCACAATCAATTATACTTCGTTATCACTTATTATTACTTGTTTGCTATTTTTATGCAGGACATCGCCCAGTGTCTCGTTAGGAGGTATTCTCCAATTTTCTTTTTTTTGGATTGAGATTTTCCTGAGGTACTATATCGTACACAGTAAGAGGACCAGTTCTAAGATAAGTAGCTCTCAAGTGTTAGTAAATAAGTCCCCCGTGAGCTCCTTTCCCTCCTTATACAGCTGTACTAGCTCTTGTAATGATGAGCTAGGAAGACCACTCACTGCTTTACTTTTGCAAATAGTCGGTGCAAAACTGGATGCTTGATTGGACAAAATCCGTTGTAAAAAATGATGCCCTCTGGGATTACCGATGATTCATCTTGCAAAAACTGATAGGGCAGAAGATCATAGCTGATTTTAGCTTGTAAAAAGAGTTGAGCGAAGTTAGTTGGCTATGAAGAGTTAAAATTGCCAGTGAGGGGGTTTGATGTTGAGCCGGGCGAATATGCCCAGGGGATGTTTTGTCTCCTGGGCATATCCGCCTGCACGAATGCCTGATACAGTCTTGTTATTGTTATTGAACCCTATTCCCACACTAATCCTGCACTATGAGAAAGACAGATTATCGACTTCATTGATCTTTCACTTAAGTACCCTAGGAAGCGAAATTAGACCTAATTCTACATATTGTTTCAGGCGAAACAAGCGGATCGGTTGTCAACTGTGCTGCTGCTGGTACATCTGCATGCCATGAAAATGGAGTTTGCAGGTAGACTTCGAAATTTCCAAATTTTTTTTTATTTTGGATTTCGCGTATCTCTTCCATTACAACTTTTCCTCATTTCTCTTACAACCCTTCCTGATTGGGCAACAGGGATTGGGTCAGGATAACCATGGGTGAGGACAGGGTATTCCCTGATCAATGTGTCTTTACGGATGACAGCTTACTTTACATACCATTACTGACATCCAGCTTAGTCAGCGTTCACTAGATGTGGTTAATTGATAAATCGATTTTTCTATCCCCTCTTCCCAAGGCTGGTACTAGTCAACCCATCCTGTAACAACTAGGAACAGATAATATGGGCCCAATAGGCCTACCATCTGGCGTTCGAAATCTTTGTAATATCTCCATAGCTTAGCACTGCCTTTTGCACCTGAGATAAGGCCTGTTACTTCGTATTTTACGAATCCGCTTAAATGCCTGAATTTACCTTTTTCAAGGGATTACACTGATGGATTCTGTTGTGAATGTAAACCAGGATACTTTGGAAATGGAAAGGATTGCGTGAAGAAAGGTATGCTTTTGGCTTGACCATTGCCATAAAAGGTTCAGTACTCTTTCAACAGTGCAGTAAGAG